CTTCCTCGACTGACCTCCTCACCTGACCTCAACACTGGCCTGATCACCCAGCTGTCTTCCATTCATTTCCTCCTTCTCCACAGCCTGCTGCCATTGAGTTCCGCCGCCTAACAACAGCTAGCCCTCTGCTCAATTGCACAAGGACCTTACTTGCGCCGGCGTACGTCTTCACTCAAAAGACGCATTGTTACAGCACTTCACCTGCAATGTGCTTGGCAAAAAAGGACCTTGCTGGTTGTGGAGACATTGTCATGAGCCTTAAGAAGATGCCTCACTAGAGAGAACACATTTTGTCCCCAAATTTACTTGTATGCAAAGAGGCAAGAAAGGCACAGAGCTTGCCAGCGAAGCTATGGCTCCAGGCATCTAGTTGGCAATTCAAATCTCAAGGCAAAGGTGGGCTGAGGAAGATGAGCGCAAAATGTGAACAAATTGCAAAGGAGAAGAAGAGACAAAAAAGGGCCTTCTTATACCTTGCATGGCATCTGAGAGCCCTTTGGTAGCTGTGTAGAAGAATGTCCAGGAGACTGTAATGCCTGAGACATTAACATTCTGTGTGAGTCCCTGAGCTGCAGTGGATGATGTCTGAGAGACATTTGTATGTATGGAATGCACAATGGATTCGTGTGAGGTAGTACAGAGTGTCTGAAACGCATTGAAAATGTCTGGTGCTGTATTGACCAATGATGCTGACCTTTGCACAGAGGGCAGACTTCAGCATTGCAAAATGTGCCAAGGCTCCGGACAACAGCAGAAGCACACAGCTATCCTTGGCTTGATAGGTTATTGGATGGTCCAACAAGGCTGCTTTGCCCCAGATAGACTTGTGACAAGGGGCAAACAGAGGTGACTGATGCTATAAGTTGCTCAAGGTTTGGAACCTAAGTGAACTTCCGGTGTGCGGCGCGTGCAAAGGCCAGCTCGGTGGAGCATGTTGGAACTGGACATTGCTGTTTTCCAGACAGCTTCGTCATGTCCTTGCAGATGTGGACAATGTGAATGTGCTTGCTCAAGCTTTGCATGGGCAAGAAGATTGCCAAAGTATTGATGGCTTGAGGTATCAGTCAACAGGCAGGGGAGAGATGATGGTATTGGGACAAGTCCGGACTAGCGCTTACGCGTGCATGGATGCGCGCACAAACCAGTAGGTCTGGACTCACGCAAATTGGGCAGACTCCAGCCTTTGGGAAGTCCGCCAAGGCGCCAGGCAGACACAGTGGCACACCATAATTCTTGAAAGTGTTGTGATGGGCCATGCAGTGGTAGAACGAGGCACAGGTTGCGACAGACCATGGCCCCTGAGCAGCGCGAGGGACCAGCTTTGTTGGTCTTGTCAACCAGCACAGATGCGCTGTTGCTGCCCAAAAGAGCTGTCTCTCCCTCAGTGGAAGCCACCTTCTTGACTTGCTTTGACCTTGAGCCCTCCTTGGCTTTGCTTGATCTTTTCTTGTTGCGTTCAATGTGCTCTAGCATGCCTGCTGAGCCATCCCACACCTGTCATTCCTTCTCCTGCATGCCAAAAATGGCGATGCAGTGCTCCTTGACAAGGTGATTGATGAAGTCGACGTAGGTGCCGCACCTCGTCGCGCACATTGGGTATGGACAGCGCTCCTGCACAAACGGCTTCTCCATGTCCTTGTGGATGTGCACCGTCTGAAGGTGCTCGCTGAGGCTCTGCATCCTCGAGAATGTCGTGACGGCGTTGACGGCCGGCAAGTCCGACTTCATGCAGATGGGGCAAACACCAGCCTTTGCCAAGTCTGCCGAGGCGCCGGGCAATGGCAGTGGCACGCCACGATGCTTGAACTCATCTTGATGCGCCATGCAGTGATACAGCAAGGCTGCTCTACCCAGCAGAGTCTTGTGACACAGTTTGCAGCGGTGAGTGATTGAAGCTACGATCTCCTTGATGGCAGGCGGTTGCGCCAGCTTCCTGTGTGCAGCGCTCGCAAACACGACATTGTGCTCTGCCTCGTAGTGGCAGTAGCCATCGTTTGCTGAGCCAAAGCGCTTGCTACACAAGCGGCAAGGGGTCCCTTTGGCCAAATTGGTGTGCTGGGTGCCCACATGCCAGACCAGCTCCGCAACATCATCGCCCGAAACATTGCCGCAGCCCTGCCAGGGTGTCTTGCGGTTTTTTCCTTCAGGGAGCGGACACTGCGTGAAGACCTCCATCGCCTCCAACGCCGGAATGACACTCGCTTCGGCACTCGGCGTTGCTCGCGCTAGTGGCAAGCCGTGCAGCATCTCTTTGTTGAGCATCTGACGCAGCAGTGCAAGATACTGGTCTGACTCCAAGTCCCGTCCACCCTTGAGCGTTGCTTGCATGTGGGCGTGGTTGGCATGAGCAAGCGCAAAGCGTGTTGGTGGGACTAGGCTGACGTTGGGCTCGGTGTCGAAATGTGTCCGTGGTGCTGTTGGCTGGGCTTGAATAGACGCAATGTCCAGACCAAGATCCAAGTCCACTTCCAGCTCTTCCTCCACGTTGGCCCGAAGCGCTGCTGAATCTCTCAGATCGGCGTTTCCCAGGGATGACAAGACATCGACACCGTTTCTGGATGGTGCGTCCAGAAGGATGCCATCCACAGTGCTCCGTAAGGCAGCTGCGGTGGCCAGCTCAGCAATCTGGGGGGCAAAGGCGCGCAGGTTCTCACTCTCTACCGCTGCTGCAACTTCCTTGCGCCACTGGGCCAACAGACAAGTATTGATCAAGTGTGAGAGGTCATTCTCAGGTGACTTGATGGCCTTTGCCAGCGCATAGCCAAGTTGTTTGCCTTGCCGGATAGAGATTCCAGCGTGCAAGCTCTTGAAAGTGGCCTGAGCATCGCGTACAGCCTCTTGCAGGTGCTTGACATCAGCTGCGCCAAAGACTTCTTGCCTGCCTGCAGCAGAGACAGCCCTGGGCAGGTTGAAATGCTTGAGCAACGGTAGCTGCAAGCGCCCTCAATTCTCACTGCCATGCGCAACCAGTCCCTGGACATTGATCTGGGCAGTCCTGGCATGGTATGCGCGGTAGGCTGCGCTGCACGCATTGTGGCCCATGGCAGCGCCTCTGTCCTCCGAGGTGACCTCAGGACAGTTTAGCGCGTTGGCGGCAAGGCGATGGAAGGCGTACGGAGTGAGGTGCTCCACAATGCCTGCGCGTCGTCCGATGGCTGCAAGGTGGTACTCGAACTGGCCAAGAGTCATGTCGCGCAGATCGCAGGACGTAGAGGGGGTTTGCGTGCGCCATACCTCCAAGCGAAAGACTTTGAGGTCCAGTTTGTCATCGCAGAAGGGGACCGTGTGCGTCATTATCTTGAGCATGCCTTTGAATGAATGACACTGAGCAAGCAACGACCAGTTGTATGCTGAGTTGTATGCTTGCATCAGCACGGCCTGCATGTTGACAGCTATGGCAACTGGCTTGTGATGCGCAGCTGTTGTGAGTCCAAGCTCCTGCGCCAGATCAGTCCTCATGTACATTGTCAGCCGGGTGAACTGGGCTGCATCAATTGTGCGGGTGTCAGTGTGCCGCAGCGGATATGGCAGAGTGGGTGAATGTCAATGCTGTGCGCACAGAGATGGGAGGCAGTGATGCTGCAGAAGAACTGGCACCAAGAGGTCCAGGAACCCCCCAGCTTGCCCAGCATACCATTGCGCAAACCCTTTCCAATGGCCAAGGATGATTGGGTTAGCTGGGAGCACAGAGCCGTACTCCCTAAAGAAATCCTCCCAATCTGGTAGTTCAAGGCCAGTCTTGAAGTCTTCCTTCAGTTTCTTAAGGCACGCCTTGTATGCGTTCTCTGTCCTTGGACAGAGCGCCTTGAGGGATCTTGATTGCTCGAGGATGGCCTCTTGACGAGCAGGCTTCCAGCAGTAGTTGGCCAGTCCAGGTGAATTGTACAACAGATACTTCAGGGTCACCTTTCTGCTCGCGATGGACACTCAAGCTGTTCCAGAGCTGAGTTTGGATCAATCGCAGCATACCCATCCATTCGGACCACCAGGCACTCAAGCGCTGCCAGGGATTTAGTCGATCCCACTACAATCTGCGTGCGTGCTGACCAGATGGATGCCTAATGGCCGGCCCCGTGTTTGAAGTGTGTGCATGTAAAGAAGTGACCCTGCTCTGCCTCCAGATCAGTGCCTTATGTGCGCACATCTTCAAATGCCTCTTAGACATTTGCCACTGCGCGCCAAGCACTTAAATGTTTCCCAGACATCCACTACTGCGCGCCAAGCATCACTCTTACTCTCAGACAGAGACCCTTCTGTCTCTCCCTCATACTTTTGCTGCGCCTCACACACACCTTATGCATAGCAATGACTCTCCCTCACTGTTCATGCAGCCACAATGACTCACACGCGCCAAGCTTTGACTCTGACTCAGAGACGCTGTGCCAATGCAGTGACTCTGCCTCATCCTCCTTTCACTCTGCCTCTCAGACATTCTCTCACACATCCAAGAATGTCTCTCACACATACTTTATGCAGTCAGAATGTCTCTCAGACATTCATATGCGCGTCATGCATAAGAATGTCTCTCAGACATTCTTCTTCACATTTCACTCTGTCTCTCAGACATTTCACTCTGCTTCTCACACATTCTGTTACAGAACACACTCTGTCTCTCAGACAGACCTGTAAGGTATATATAGAGGCCCCCCCAAGGCCTCTCCCACTTTGCAATACATCCTTTCCTCACCCAATCTTCCTGCCCACTTCCTCGACTGACCTCCTCACCTGACCTCAACACTGGCCTGATCACCCAGCTGTCTTCCATTCATTTCCTCCTTCTCCACAGCCTGCTGCCATT